TTTCGCTTATCCGACGTTCTGCCGGCCCGTTTATGTCGGATAAGCGAGACTCTACTGTATTTGGAAAAGATATAGAGATGCTTACCATTTATTTTTATGCTTAAGATGCATAAAAGTTGAGAAGTTCTGCATGCAAAAGGAATTCCTCAAGCAGGGCCGTTGTGCTTTGTGCAACTACCTGATCACTTCAGACATTTTGATTAATTTATCATTTTGTATCTTTTTTTTCTTTTACCACAAAGGCCCTTTTCAAGATACATAGAATTTTTCAAGAAGTAAAGTATTTCTAGAGTAACTTTATACACAATTTCCTAAATAGTAATTCTCAGGATGCCTACTAAGAAACCACAGAAAAATCTCTTCAAATCTGAGTCAATATACTACATATTCTATATATTCTATATTCTATATATTCAAATATGTCTAGTGTGCAACATTGCTTTATTCTTCCCTCATGTTATTTTATCTTCATTAAAGCTGCTTTGTTTCTCTTTTAGGAGTTCTTAGCGGCAGGCATGGTACTCCACCTAAATTTCTTCCAACAGGCAGCCCTCTTATTTCTTCACCACAGCCAGCTGCTTGTGCTCCAACTTATACAGGAGATCTTCCTCTTCCTACCAACACACCAACATCATCTTCCGCCAAGACACCAACCATCTCAATTTATACCTTCACTCCTGCAAAGCAGAAAGCTACTTCACGTACCGCATCCAAACTAGTGCTTCCTTCAAATATGTCCATTCAACAACGGGTTACAAAGACTCCAAATTCATCTCCGACTATGAAGGAAACAAAGATACTTTCTCCACAGATAGCTGTAGCAGAAATTCCTGACACTGCCTTTGCTTCCAGGTCACCACATCTGAGGTCAGAAACACGTGCCAAGAGAAGGCTAGAATCCAGTAGGGAAGAAAATATGTTGTGTCTCAAAAGCTGTAACTGTGTAACTGAGCTTCATCCAGAGTCTAAAAAATCCAGACTGGGACAATTCACTTTGGCAGCAGGTTCAAAGCCTTGTAGAAAAGACTGCCTGACTCTTAATGGACAAGTGCAGGATATTCAAAGCCTGAAAGAGCCTTTTTCTCCTGGAAGTCCTTGTTCTTCTGCTACCTGTCTAAATTTTCCACATCTTATCAAGTCATCTTGTGAGAAGATGGCTGACAAGGAGAATGGTTCTCCTGACAGAAGAAACTGGCTGTCTGATTTGGGAAATAAACTACGAACTAACAAGATGAATAACCCAAGTGGGTCATCCCCATCATTAGGGAACCTAAGCACAAAACGAATGGAAACTAGGACAGGAGCTACATCACCAGGACCTGTAAGTAAATTAAGCATGGTTACTATAACACCTTTGTTAATGTTGATTCTTCTTACAAGTATTACATATTATAGTACAGTAGAAGCAATATCCATGCTACCCTCTAGCAAAACCAGTCTCTTTGCTACAGAAAAGTAGGGAGAGAGTGCTGAACCAAACTTCCACTTCTGAACTTTAAAGATAGTACAAACACCTCACTTAAATGCATCACCCAATACAGTGTATTTTCAAATGTACTATATTTCAATATCAGATGAAGTCAATATTGTATAGCCAAAGAACCTCACTATGGTACATAACACTGGAAAAGATGGGGGAAGTGGTGCATCCTTGGAACCACAGGCAGCTTGAAGAATCTCAAATACTGACTTTGCTGGACAGCTTATTTTAATATATAACCAATAGATGTCACAGCTCAGAATAAATGTGCTTTTTTTTCATATGCTGTCTGCCTTCCTTGCTATCCCTTTTAAAGTCCTTAATGAGCCTTGTTGCTAAGAACAGGAAACAACCCAGGGAAGCAAGTCATCCATTATTATCACAGTTTCCTTTCCTCTTTGGGCGGGCAGGGCAGTTGCATCTGTGAATTCTGTACCAGAAATGGAAATACTGATAACAGGCTCCTATCTTCAATTTGCTAAAACAGAACTAAAGCGTGAATAGAACTGCCTTCTGCATAACCCAACTTGCTGTGTAGGCCAGTTTTTCTATACAGAAGATGTTTGTACATATCTGAATGAATTTTATGTTTGCTGTCTTTTGTTCTGTTCTAAAACTGATGGTCAGGCTTTATAGCATAGATCTATAATGGAGAAGAGGTCTATGGAGAGGATGTGGGTTTTTTCCTAGATGTAAGGCTAGTAGAGGATTAATACACATCCTTTGGTTGTTTTTTTTAAATCCCACCCATGCACCCTAAGCAGAAAAGCATGCTACTCTGATTTGATGGTTTGCCCATTGCCAAAATTCCCTAATCCCAACGGCTTTACAGCACTGGGTTCAAATCCTTGTTCAACTTTATGTAGTGTTATGAGAATAGGCAGTATACAAATAATTGTGTATGCATAAGTGGCTAAATATGTGTCTGTGTACACATACACATACATATGTATGTGTACACATAGATAGGTATGCATAGATATATAGTACCTATCTATCTCTGTCTTGCCAGGTAATCTAGGAAGAGAAAAGTTAGACTGAAATAATGCAATAGAGATAATGTAGATATACTCTCCTGAGATCTATGGGGTAGGATGAGATGTAATAACAATTTTAAAAAATATGCTAGCAAAAGAAGTACCGTATTTTTCTGACTATAAGACAATACTTTTTTCTAAAATCCTTATGCTAAAAATTGAAGGGCGTCTTATGCAAGGAAGTAAGCCGAGGAGAGAACCACACAGTTGCAAAACTGCCTATACTTTCTCTCTGCAAGCAGGCTTCCTCCTATTGCTAGCCTCCAATCACG